GGGGGGGGGGGGGGGGGGGGGGGGCGCAAGGCGTTGACGCGTGCGCCAAAGTGCTCACCGCATCGCGCTGCTGCCTGCAGTATCATGGAGCGTCTCGAGGAGTTGGAACAGGAGGAGGAGAGATTGGAGCAGGATGGATTTTATGATGTCGAGAATGAAGAGGAGGAGGACGATGAAGCGCGAGAGATTCGCGAGGCTGCAGAAGAGATTAGGCGAAGGAAGGAAGAGGCTCGTCTGGCTAGTCGCGAGGTGAGCATGGGGATGAACCAGATGTTTCCTGCGTCAAACGCGCTGAACCACTTTCCCCGATGGTGCTCCAGCGCAAGCACATGAAATCCCGCTTGCAAATTCCCCGCAAGATGCAGACTCGCACCCTCAGCGAGATGGAAGAAAAGCTCCGCAGCCTCGGTATAGACCCGAGCAGCATCACTGCTCGCGCGGAGCTGCTGGCCAAGGCCAAGGGCATTTCCCTCAAGGCAAAGAGGAAGCGAGGTGGTGCGGACGATGATGACGAGTCGATGGAGGTGGATGCAGCAACAAAGACGCACGACGAGGATGCCTGGTCGGACGACGAGCAGGACGGGTCGATGGATGTGGACGGCGAGGCGCCTGGCGGCAAGAAGCGCAAGGGCAACACGGGCAAGAAGCTTGCAGCGCTGCGAGGAGCGACGGCGGGTGTGGGCAGCACGACGAAATCCGGCGGAGCGATCACTGCGCGGGCTGGAGCGGTCAGGAGACCGACAAAGAACAGACAGACGGCGGGACTGGCTGGCAAGGCGCAGGTTGAAAAGGCTCGCGAGCTAAAGGATCTCAGTCTGAGAGAACGCAATAGACTTGCCAAGGCTGGTGAAAGTGATCGAGCCATCAAGGAAAAGATGCGTGAGTGGGAGTACACGCGGGAAAAGACCGATGTGGCGTGTCCCTTGCTGAAATTGCTGCCTGCCCTTCTCGCCCGCGATCAGCAAAATGGCTCTTTGCTGGAAAACGTGGCAAGGGAACTTCGAGGAGCAGATGAGCGACTCGAATGGCAGGCCTTTTCTTCCTCTCTGTCCCGCACTCTTTGTGTACATTGCCCCCCCCGCCCAGCTCAATTCACGATACTCGTAGCGCATGCACACGTCTGGGGAGGACATTACATGTAGAGGCATTTTCGTTGCTTTGCGCTGGACGCACTCTTTCGCACGCTCGACGCTTTGACGCTCTGACTAAGTCTTGGTTGTTTTGGGCGACGCGTCACTCGCTACTAGCCGCTGAGCGGGCTCAGGCTTGACCGCGCGCGCGTCGTCCGGAGGGTGGTACTGTATCCATCTTTCGATATGCCTCGCATGAGCCGCTAGTCCGGTCCGCGATGTCGTCGCCAGCGTTGTCGTCGTCGTTGTCGTTGTCGTCGCCGCCGCCGTCGCCGCCGCCTTTTTGTCCTTCTTTGTCCTTTTGCTCTTGACCAAGCGACTTCGACCGCGTTCGGGCGTTGCTGTACCGGGGCTGGGAGCGGCGCTGCTAGGCAGTGCCAAGGGATGGATGGTGGGAGAATTGCGTGCAGAGCCGTTTTGCGACGACGAGTGACTGGAGGGCAAGCTCTGACTGCGATGCAAGAAAGGTGCGCGTTGCAGCTCCTCGAATTCTTGACCGTCCGACGGCGGGGAATTTTGCGCGGCGCTGCTGCTGCTGCGCGAAGCTTCTCGCAGCTTTGCGCCCCAGCCTGGGAGGATTCCATGCTTGAAAGGGCCCCTTTTGGCATCTTTGGAGAGAAAGTGCCATAATGCTGGACTGATGTTGCTGGGTCTGGCTGGCTCGGGCGAGATGGAAGCGGATCTGGATCGAGTCGACTTTGGTGCTTCTTCCACTCTTGGGGCAGGACTCTCGGAATGTCGACTTGTAAAGCCCTGCTTCACCCAACCTGCATACACACCATACCGTGGATTCTCGTTGCCTTCCGCTAGCACCTTGAGCCTCGCACTTTGTCGCGCAGATGTGCGAGATGCGGATCGGGCACTTGCTGGGTCGTCGGGCGATCGACTCTGTTGGAAAGCGCGATGGACGGACGGCGGCAAAGAGTCGGCTGGACTGCTTCCTCGAGACGCTTCGCGGGAACGTGCGCGATTGGCGTAGAATGCTGCTCGATGCTCGGCCGTTCCGTAGGCGGATGATGCGGATGGGCTTAGCAGCAGCGGAGAGACGTCCGAAGGACGACCGTACAAGCCTACTGGCTCGGAGCGCACCGAACCTAGCGGAGAGGCGCCCGATGCAGGCTTGCCGTTGGTAGAGTCGTCTGTTTCGCTGGCTTTGCTCTTGGTAAGTTTGCGCGTGACAGAGCGCCAGGCACCGCCAAGGGGACTCCGTCTTGTCAAGACGTGGGTTGGAGAATAGGTTGCACTGCCTTCGCGTGCGGGCAGAGCAGGCGAGAAAAAAGATTTGCGAGAAGAGTATGCGAGCATGTTGGTCCACGATCGATCTTGGACGGCACAGGGAGATGTGGAATGCGGCGCACAGCGTGCATACTCCACAAGCGGCACATCGGCGCTAGCGCTTGCGTTTGCGATCAGGAGAAGCGGGATCAGCAAGCAACGGCGTCTCATGGTCAACGATCCCTAAAGCCTGCTCAGGGCGACCACAGCCTTGATGGGGATGGTCTGATCGAGTCTGCTCGCGATGCATCGAGCAAGTCTGAATTTAAAGCTTGTCGAGTGGCGTGCCCAGGGCCTCGGATGCGGCAAGGGGAGACGAGTGCGAGACCAGCTCACAGCGTGTTGCCTGGCGAAGTAGGACGGAAAAGATGGGTATGGTATTCGCGAAGCTGAAAAAGAACAAGTGGCGATCGGCATCCTGTATGCAATCAACAATTTCGCCATCGCGAAGAGAGCGTGCAGCCGAAATTTGCAGAGGCGTGCGTGGCAAAGCGGCGCCGCGCCACTGGCGTGCCCGCCCGATGTCAGCGAGCTCCTTTTAGCCGCGTGTTTTTGCACAGTGAAGCTCGGCAGCATCGCGCTGCAAAGGATCCATGGCGTCCAGCCTGACGGTTCTCCATGGCGACGTACCAAGCTTGCTGTGAAGATCGAGAGTGGGGCGAACTTAGAGTGAGGCGATGCATCAAGCGGAGGATTGGGTCGTGCGTGCGTTCTCGCAAAGGCACGCGCCATTCGCTTCATTTCGAGTCTCGAATGCCTCTCCGAGCATCTTCGACTGTGCTTGCTATACGTCCTCGTCAAATCATCCAAAGCGAGCTTTCTGCTCGTTCGAGTGGGGGGTTGTTGACGTCGACACGCGTCGTGTCGCTTGCTCATTGAAGTCTGAAACGTTCTCATCTTGGTGGACATCTCGGATCATCGATGCTTCTTCCTTCCCTTCTTCTTCGAAAAGCCCAGGAATCGCTGAATTCTGCCAGATCTCTCTTCCTCCCTTCTACTTTCGTGCTCCGCATTCTCCTCATGGCTGGACACGTATCCCGAAGCGCTCGAGATCTCGCCTAAACTCGATACGTGACTGGACGTGCGTTGAAAAGCTGGATGCTGCCTGAAATGCGGGTTGCCGAGCGGGTCGATTCCCCTCGGAACCTCGACGAGCAGCTCGTGCGTTCGTAGTCTGCTATCCTCGTTTGGATGAGCATGCAAGCCGTGCTGATAAGGTCCTCTATGTCCTTCGGGAGAGATCCAATTCATAATTTCACCACCGTGCGCAGAAGATCCGGCATTCCAAGATCCATCGGCATCAAAGGTGTATGGCGGAGAACCCATGATGGAGAAGCTTTGCCTCAGCTTGTCGGCTGGCGTGGAGCGAGAAGACGATGGACTCCTCGTCGACTCGCGACCATCGACGCTTTTGCCGCTTTCCGCTTGCTCGTTCCACGCGCCATCATCGCCGGATCTGACTGCTTTCGAACCCTTTTTGGACAACTTTTTAAAAACGCTTGACAGAGGGTGCGGATCGCGCTTGGTGAGCAGCCGCCAGGCGGCTCTCAAAGTGATCTCCGAGGTCGGCGGCGCATGTGCAACGCCACGTGCCATGAAAGTGCGAGATGCTGGAAAGGCAGAGGCTGAGCCCAGAAAGGCCATCGTCAGCGTGAGCGTGCCCAGGTTGAAGTTTCGCATGGCAGAAACAAGCTGCTGCACGTCCAAGAGCGCGCTGAGAGAGCTTCACGTGCGGTGAGCGACGCTGCTAGCGGAGGGGTCAAAGGTTGTTGTGAGCGCGCTGATATGGCGGCCCTTGACTCTACCATGTAGCAAAGTGAAGCGCTCGTTAAAAAACACACAGTATTTCAAGCATGTTGGTGGGTGTGGAGATTTCGGAGCTACGGGGGCATGTATGCGTCGTCGACCAAACACACGCAGGTGGCGAGTCCTGGCGCGGACAGAGCAAGGTGGCGGGCGTCTCCCAGCAGCAGCAGCAGCAGCAAACGTTGCTCGAAGCGAGCGGTACGCAAAAAGTCAACGTTTGGCCGTCGCGCCACCAAATAGCGCATCGTCGTCGCAAGGATGGCGGGATGATGAAAGGCCATGCCCATGAGCGTGTTTCCATACGTGCGCCCCTACTGGCATTGCGGATCAGACTGACTCGTTGTAGTCAGCTGCGGCGGACCGAAGCTCGACGAAGCACGAGTGTGAAGTGCGAAAGCTCAGCTATGCATCGCACACCATCCGCGGTCCTCGAGGCCTGCGCTACTAAAGTGTTCCTTCAAACGCCCCACTCAGTCCGCAAACAGGTTCGACCCCAGCGCTTGTGCTGGCCGCGGGGGGTGACCTGCTTGGGATGTGCCGGACTTGCCGAGGAACAAGACGGGGAGCTGCGGCCGGCATCGGGCTGACTTTCCACTCGATCTTCTTTCGCAAGTCAAGGATGGTGAGGGTGGGCAAGTCACAATGTGCGTCTGATGAGGCTGATGAGTAGCGCATGGCTGATGGCGGCAACCAACAGGTGTGCAGGTATAGGTATAGGTGGGGGGGCAGCGCGCATTGTGCAGCTGCACACGTACAGTAGGTACCCTTCTTGCTCGCTTGACGGTGTTTAGACAGCACAACCAAACTCACGTGACTGTTGAGCAGTTGCACAAGAGCTTTTGGCGAGGCTGGTGCGCATCCAGCACGGAGCAAATCGCAAGTAGTGTAGTCACGAGTCACGAGTGGAGAGTCGTGATTGCGAAATGCGTGGGCGCTAGCTATACCCTCCTGCTGACTGCACTTTGCGCTTCTGGTGCTCGGTATGCACATGATACACGACACGCATACGATGTGGTCATGATTCATGATTTTGTCGTCAAAGGCGAGCATCAGCAGCGCTGAATCGTTGGTTGACCTGTTTGTGTGGAGCTGCTGCATGGCTGGCTGGCTGGCTGGTTGGTGACCGACCCGCGCTGCTCAAGCGACCTCGACACTCGCGCGCCT